TGTTTAATTTGTAATAATATGTTTAATTTATATAGCGCCTTTCCCAAGCTCAAGGACGCTTCACAATAAGAGTAGCAGAAAAGCAATCATTGCATACATAATCAATTAAATGGACAATGAACATTTGCCAAGTCTAAGACATGTGCAATTGCTGCATATCACAGTAGTACAAACAATCAAATACAAGCAGAGAACCAGAACAGTTTAAGAAAAGACATATTGTGACCGGTAGTATTGGTTAAACGGGTAGGTTTTGAGTTTAGACTTAAATTCATGCAGTATGGTAATTGTCCTAAGAGACAGGGGAAGTGAATTCCAAAGTTTAACCGGAGTATAACCGGAGAAAGATCTACCTCCCATAAAATCAAAATCTTGGAACACAGAGAAGTTCACCTCCAGATGATCGAAGTGGTCGAGAGGGTGTATATGGAGAAAGTAAATCAGAGAAATAAGTAGGTGCAAGACCATAGAGTGACTTTAAGGTAAGCAGAAGAATTTTATGAATAATACGAGAGGACACAGGTAGCCAGTGGAGGTTCAATAGAATAGGAGTGATGTGAGCAGACCGTTTAGTGTAAGTTAACATTCTCACAGCAGAATTTTGGATATATTGCAGAGGGGAAATGGAGCGCACTGGTAGTCCAGAAAAAAGAGTGTTACAGTAATCGAGGCGAGATGTGATAAATGCATGTACTAGTGATTAAGCATCTTTTGGGCTGACGAAGGAACGGAGTTTGGCAATACGGCGAAGTTGAAAAAATGCAGCTTTAGAGAGTTTACTAATATAAGCATCTAGATTTAAAGAAGAGTCAAGAATGATACCTAAGTTTCTGACGGTGGCAGATGGAATAATTGATCTAGCTTCAAGGTCAAATCTGGGGACATTAGTTTTTTTTTTTTGTTGGGGGACCGACAAGTAAGATTTTGTTTTTAGTCAAGTTCAAACTGAGAGAATTGGAGTTAAGCCAGATCTTTAACTTGTTGACGCATGACAATAGAGGTGAAGTCTGGTGAATAGAATCAGGTCGGCAAGCAGTGTATATCTGAATATCGTCGGCATAGCAGTGGTACTGAAAACCATGGTGGCGAATAATTTGTCTGAGGGGTAAAATGTAAATAATAATGGCCCTAGAACTGAGCCCTGTGGTACACCCTGTTTGAGTAAGACAGTGGGAGATTTACAGTTACGCATGGTGATGTAGTATTGTCTGTTTGTCAAATAGGAGGAAAACCAGGATAATGCAGCTCCTGAGATGCCAATCTCTGAGAGGCGCACGAGTAATAACTTATGGCAGACAGTATCAAAAGCTGAGCTGAGATCAAGTAATAAGAGTATGGAAAAACTGCCCGAGTCACCAGAAAATAGGAGGTCATTTATAACTCTTACTAAAGCAGTTTCAGTACTGTGTTGCGAGCGAAAACCTGACTGAAATATATCAAAATGAGTGTTGAGAGTTAGAATTGACTGCAGTTGAGTGGCGACAACCTTTTCCATGATTTTTGAAACAAACGGTAAATTGGAGATTGGCGATAGTTAGCGTAGTCAGTTGGGTCCAGATTTGGTTTCTTAAGAATACGAGTAACAGCAGCAGTTTTAAGTGAAACTGGAACAGTGACAGAGATAAGAGACATGAATGTGAAATTGGAGCAGAAATGATAGAGGTACAGTGTTTCAAGAGGAAAGTAGGTGCAGGGTCAACCCGGCATGAAGAACAATTGGAGGCAATACGTAGGCAGCACTTTAAAGGGGACATCGGATGCCCAATTTCCACAAGTTGGTGTGATTCTTTAGGGTCTTCTTGAAATGTCTGCAACATACACAGTCCATCAGCGGCCGTGGGCAGGGCTTGAGCAGTATGACGTCATATTGCTCAGAAAATCAAAACGATTGATTATCGAGACTAATTAGGTTTTTTGGGGGATTAAAAAAAAGTAGTGAATTGATTTTTATCATTGTAGGGTAGTTGTGTCCACACTACTAAGACACATTTATATGTGAACACCATGTAAAAGTGAATTTTGCATCCGATGTCCCCTTTAAGGTGTGCCCTTTATGCGAAGCCTGTTGCAAAAACATACAGGCAATTATGCTTTGTTCTAGAATAATTTTAACAAATAATTTATATGTGAACACCATGTAAAAGTGAATTTTGCATCCGATGTCCCATTTAAGGTGTGCCCTTTATGCGAAGCCTGTTGCAAAAACAGACAGGCAATTATGCTTTGTTCTAGAATAATTTTAACAAATAATGTTTAGCTAATTTTAACTAATTAATCTTAGTGGAAAAATCCATCAAAAATATCAGAAGTGAGTGAATGCAGTCCAAACAGCTGATAAAAACATCACAATAATCCACAAGTAATCCACACCACTCCAGTCCATCAGTTAACATCTTGAGAAGAGAAATGATGTGTGTTTGTAAGAAACAAACCCATCAAGATGTTCATGAAGAACAATTGGAGGCAATACGTAGGCAGCACTTTAAAGGGGACATCGGATGCCCAATTTCCACAAGTTGGTGTGATTCTTTAGGGTCTTCTTGAAATGTCTGCAACATACACAGTCCATCAGCGGCCGTGGGCGGGGCTTGAGCAGTATGACGTCATATTGCTCAGAAAATCAAAACGATTGATTATCGAGACTAATTAGGTTTTTTGGGGGATTAAAAAAAAGTAGTGAATTGATTTTTATCATTGTAGGGTAGTTGTGTCCACACTACTAAGACACATTTATATGTGAACACCATGTAAAAGTGAATTTTGCATCCGATGTCCCATTTAAGGTGTGCCCTTTATGCGAAGCCTGTTGCAAAAACAGACAGGCAATTATGCTTTGTTCTAGAATAATTTTAACAAATAATTTTTAGCTAATTTTAACTAATTAATCTTAGTGGAAAAATCCATCAAAAATATCAGAAGTGAGTGAATGCAGTCCAAACAGCTGATAAAAACATCACAATAATCCACAAGTAATCCACACCACTCCAGTCCATCAGTTAACATCTTGAGAAGAGAAATGATGTGTGTTTGTAAGAAACAAACCCATCAAGATGTTTTTAACTTTAAACCATCACTTCTGGCCAAAATATGAGCCCATAATTATTGTGATGTTTTTATCAGCTGTTTGGACTCTCATTCTGACGGCACCCATTCACTGCAGAGGATCCATTGTTGAGCATGTGATGCAATGCTACATTTCTCCAAATCTGATGAAGAAACGAACTCATCTACATCTTGATGGCCTGAGGTTGAATACATTTTCAGCAAATTTTCATTTTGGGGTGGACTAATGCAAAAAAAATAAAAATACAGAAAAAAGTCCATTGTCTATTATCGATAGTGTGGCGATGTATTAAGCACAGCTCACACAGCTCTGTTGGTCACCTTTTACTCTTACATGTAAATGTGACCACACCTTTAGAGTTTCGCAGTGTTAGCTTAGCAACATGCTAACCCAAAACGCAATTAGTCAAGCCTTAGAGCCAAACCTTACTTACACTTCTTGTAGGTTGATGCAGACTTTTTGTCTATACAGTGTTCCAAATCAGTCACTCAAATAAAGTTCTTAAGAAGGCAGCTGCCAATGTAGTCAGTACCTAGTATGTGAGAGAGTGTAAAGAGATCTCTGTGGTTATCAGGTTGTGGCATCTTGTCATACCTGAATGGCGGCCAGGTTCTTCTGCTCCTGTGAAGGGGCCTGATGAACAAAGCGAAGCCAGTTAGCATGGCGAGGGTTACTAGCGTCTAGGATATACAGCACGTCACCTTTATTCCCTCGAACCTGCAGAAGTGCACAGATGCAAAGGTTACAAGCCATTCAATCAGAATCCAAGTGGCAATGTTGCTCCTCAAAGCTGCTTCTCAACAACCTCTAAACAGTCATTGAAATATAGTGTCCAATGAACAATCCAAAGCTTTATCCAAATACCACGCAAGATGCTTTCATGAATTGCATAGCGTCCAGGTGGGACCCAAAATTACACATTTATAGCCTCTTCTCCAGTAAACATAGATGAAGATCAATGGTACCACTATCTGCCATAATATTGCAGTGAAACATGACTTCAGTGAGGCTCTATGGGCTGTGTATCCACTGAATCCAACCCACAGATCCATGTACATTAAAGCAGGTTATAAAAAGCATAATAGTGCTGTGATTTTTTTTTATCTTATTTTATTAACTAAAATACTGCAAAATGCACCAAGAGTCACATCTAATAGATTATTATAAATAATAAAAAGATAAATGACATGCCTTATTTTTGATGAAGTTTTAGGGGAAGTTGGTCTTCTTGTCATACTTATTATGACTTACTTATAATAATCTTTAAAAACACTAAGGGGCCGTTCACACACGTTTTTCCATTCGGCTACTTTTCCATTGTTTTTCTATGTAAACATGCATTAGACAGATGTGTTTGATCAGTGCGTCTTTCACAGCGCCTCGCACATGATGCACGGTTCTAACAACATGGAGCTCAAGATAATTAAACTTTTACGATCCGTGACCGAGACCCTGTAATTTTTATAAAATCTGAAAATTAATTTATTTTTTTCATTCTGCACATTGTAATGTCATGATGCTTAAATTCACTTCGATTTTAGTGTTTAGTGTTTTGTTTTTTTATTTATTTAGACAGAAAGTGTATACATTTTAATCTGCCATTTATCAGCCATAATATAATCAGTATTGTGCAAGTATAATTACATTCTTTGTTGATACAACCAGGTTGGCAAGACTATCCCGTGACAATGTATTTCAATATACAGTTCAATATAAAGTTGAACTAACAAATTTGCTTACACAACAATATTACATTGAGAGTGTACACAATTTCAGCCTTAAATCAGGAACATTGCTCACGTCCCACAGGAATGCTCTTTTCCCAGATCTGACGAGTACCTTTGTCCGACTGTTTTTGAATACAAATTATAAATTTGAGACATTTCTCGTTCTTAACTTACTGAAACACTATCTAATAGCGACTTATTCTGACTAATCTTGAAAGGTAAATTCCCTGAAATTGCCTGCATCACAACACACAAGCAGGATGAAAGAGCAGCACAGTGAAAGATAGTATACTAAGATGATGTATCATAATAATTATATGCACAAGTGTGTAATTTAAGACTTAAGCTCACTATACTTTAGGCAGAATAGTGTCATCAGGGCAGGCAGATCAATAAATCACAAGTCTAATGTGGCTGAACCCGACCTGGTCTGCGTTATAATTACAACTTTTATGCAGCCAAAAATAAACCCAAATCTTTGAAGAGCAGATATTTGATGGGATATTAGATACGGCATGCACTGAGACGTGTCTGGCATGGGAGAGTCAGCGTGAGCGGAGTTCATGCTGGCACGTCTCATCCAATTAATGGTTGCCTGGAGATGAGCAGTGATGCGTCTGTCTGAACAAGAGGGGCAGCAACTTCTCCAAGATGGTTAAAATTCAGTCAGACCTCAATAATCTCAGTCACAGAGATACAAACTGATGGAATCAAAACTGAAAACCATTTTAGTAGTCTTTGCAAAGATATCACTATTAGTTTTAGTATTGTCTGAACAAAGCTCTAACCCCAAGTATTAAACTTTGGTTTGTAACTCATCCCGCACTGTTTGTGCTAGACAGACATGAATGAAAGCACAAATCATGTGACTTGTTGAGAGGTGTTTTTGTTGGGTGAACAATAAAACAGGCAAAAAAGTCCAATAGACTTACAATGAATGAGAGAATTAAGCCAAATCACCCTTGTGAAGAAGAAGCAAACTTTAGCAGACCTTTAAAAAGAGTACTTATTACAGAAATTATATACTTTAACAGAATATAATTAAGTGCTAAATGAATGTAATATTTCAGACATACTAACTGCAAATTACTGAAAATGTATAATAGTTTAAATTTATATTAAATGCAGTTAGCTGAACTTAAAGAGTGTTTTTGACCCACTTAAGTAGGACTTAAGCACATCTTTATCAGAATGTTTTATCAGAATCTTTTTAGAATTACTTATATTGTCTTTGAAATATGGTAAAAGTGCACTTATGTATTAAAGGGGTCATATGATGCTGCTAAAAAGAACATTATTTTGTGTATTTGGTGTAATGAAATGTGTTTATGCGGTTTAAAGTTCAAAAAACACAGGGGGGGGGGGGGGGGGGAATTCCATTCAATTTCTGGGAACTTTCCAGAGTTTTTTTTGGAAACTTGCAGAAATTTTTGGAAATTTTCAGAAACTTTTGGAAAGTTTGCTGAAATTTGCCAGAAATTTTCTAATCCCGTAAGACTTTCGTTCATCTTTAGAACACAAATTAAGATATTTTTAATGAAATCTGAGAGATTTCTGTCACTCCATTGACAGTTCATGCAACTACTACTTTGATGATTCAAAAAGTTCATAAAGAGATCGTAAAACTAATCCATAGGAATCGAGCGTTTCAGTTCAAATTTTCTCTAGAGACTCAATCGCTTTATATGATGAACAGATTCAATGTAGACTTTTATTCATATATAAACATTGATTGGCAAACATAAACAGAAGTTTATGTTTACGTTTGCTTAACATGCGAGAACAAACCTCACTGGTTCTTACAAAAGCTCAAACGTAACACATAAGAATGAACCTCATAACTGATGTGTGCATTGATTAATGTTTATATGTGAATAAAAGAAAGAGAAACCTCTAGCTACTACCTAGCAAACCATATATATCAACAAATTAAAAACCTGTCAAAACACCATAGCAATTGAATTATGAACACTCGGACAATCACTCCCAACAGCCTAGCATGGTCATGGTGAGTTTGTATGGGCAACCACTCACATTCTCTTCAGAAAAACATAAATGTTGTACAGTCATAAAATAGCCAAGATATAAACTGGCATTTTATAAATGCTTGATAAGATATGAGTTGCCTTTGAAGTGCTCCAAAGTGACACAAACTCAAAAAACGTATAGCAATGCATTGTGGGTAAAGCAATGGAATGATTGTTGAGTCTAGTCACCCACCTCCCACATCAGTCGTGGATCCATGCTTTCATCCAAGTCACTCAGCATCCGCTTTTCACCTGCAAATGGACCAAACTTCTCACCCTGTGAAGAAAGAGCGAGTGTGTGTGTGTGATTAGGCTTTGACATCACATCCAGCAGTTTCTGTGTGGTATCTGAACATGATCAAGGCAAGGCTCTGGGGATCTTTAAGAGTCTATGGGTTGATTCTCCACTCAGGTTTTTAATTTTTGAGAGATGTCAAGTAGTGCTGGGCGGTTTGACAAAAAATCTGTATCAGGTTTTTTTTTTTTTTTAGGATTGTGGTGGTTTCACAGTTTAATCACGGTTTTTCCCTGACTGAGCCTTTATATGAATCAGAATGCATGAAACAGTTGCAGAACCACTGCATTTTAATCACGTTCCAAAGAAATATGCAAGCATGATCAGTTTTTCATTTAAATTAGACTGTATAATTTCACATTTTGAAGCAAAAACAGAATGGTCTGACTTAAGCTTTGTGAAACTATACTACATAAAACATATCTGAATGAAACAAAAACAGCAGACGGGCTGAATGAGACGCAAACTCACTCTCTGACAGCAGCTGGTGCTTATGGAACAGCAGTGATACAGCGTTTCCTTAGTTACCATTGTAAACAAAGCAGTGCTGTGCTTATAAACACTAATATGCATTATACAGAGAGAAGATGAAAAGAAAATACCATCTAAACTTTTCTGAATACAGTCAGTTCGCCTCAGAGATACATTCATATAAACCCCCACTCCCAAATCAGTGTTTAGGATTTTCATCCAATGTTTCGCATTGTGAGCACCATTTTTGCTTACTGTGTTTACCGTGGTAATCGCGTGTTCAAGTTGCCTTTGTTCTCATGCGTATCGCGTGGCTTAAGAAACCCTCTCTAAATCCAGCACTTTTAGAAAACTACAGACCAGTATCTTCTTACATTCATTGCAAAGACACTTGAGCGAGTTTTGTTCAACCAACTCTCTATGTTTCTTGCACAGAACAACCTCCTGGACAATCTGGCTTTAAAAGCCGCCACTCAACTGAGACTGTCCTGCTCTCGGTTACTGAAGCCCTGAGACTGGCAAGAGCAGTTTCCAAATCCTCAGTACTCATCTTGCTGGATCTGTCAGCTGCTTTTGACACAGTTAACCACCAGATCCTCCTGTCCACCCTCATGAAGATGGGCATCTCAGGAACCGCACTACAGCAGTTCAAGTCTTACCTCTCAGGTAGGTGCTTCAGGGTGTCTTGGAAGGGTGAGGTTTCCAAATAACAACTTCTTGCTACTGGGGTTCCTCAGGGCTCAGTGCTTGGACCACTTCTCTTCTCTATCTACATGTCATCATTAGGATCTATCATTCAGAAACATGGCTTTTCCTATCACTGCTATGCTGATAACACTCAACTCTACTTCTCATTCCAACCAGATGATCCAATGGTAGCTGTTCGCATTGCAGCGTGTCTGACAGATATTTCTGGATGGATGAAAGACCATCACCTTCAACTCAACCCTGCTAAGACAGAACTGCTCATGGTCTCAGCCAACCCAGCACTTCATCACAACTTCTCTATACAGCTAGGTTCGTTAACCATAACTCCTTTCAGGACAGCCAGGAAACTTGGAGTTGTAATCGATGAGCAGTTAAGCATCACAGACCATATTGCTACAACGGCCCTGTCCTGCAGATTTGCCATATACAACATTAGGAAGATTAGACCCTTCCTATCAGAGCAGACAACTCCTTGTCCAAGCTCTTGTTCTCTCCATATTGGACTATGGTAATGCTCCCTTGGCAGGCCTTCCGGCATGTACTATCAAGCCTCTGCAACTGATCCAGAATGCAGCAGTGAGAGTGGTCTTCAACAAGCTGAAGAAAGTCCACATCACACCTCTCTTCATCAGTTTGCACTGGCTGCCAATAGCCACTTGCATCAAATTCAAGGTACTGATGTGTGCCTACAAGACAACCACGGGTGCTGCACCAATATATCTAAACTCGTTAGTTCAGACTTATGCGCCCTCCAGAAGCTTGTGTTCTGCAAGTGTACGTAGGGCTGCATGATTAATCGAAATTTAATCGCAAAGGCGATAAATCGCGATTAGGCAGAAGCTGCGATTGTCATGCGTATCTTTCAGTGAAGCACGGTTCTGTGATCAGCAGTAAATCTCCATCCGAAGACCAGAGGGCGCTCTCGCGCTGAAACTCCAAATAAACCGAAAATGCCAGAAGAAACCCAGGAAATGCCTATAACGGTTGCTGAATAAACAGAAGATTTAACTGCTTTCATTAATTCAACGTGACTAATAAACACACGACTACGACAATATATGGTTTATCTGGGTTCGTCTTATTATAATTTTTATTATAATAAAGTATAATAATGCAATGCTAATCGACACAGCCTTTATCACTGCTTGGAATTCTATGAAATGTGTTGCGTGCCTTATTCTGTGTAAGAAGCCACATCATCTCACAGAAGGATTTATTTCAAACACTCGACTGACGTTACGAAGTGAGTTTGGAGTAAAAACTTTATTAAATGTGGTATTTTCATGTGCTTTCAGATGGAGCAGCATTTAGTACACAGAGCCGTAGTTCACTGACAAGCTACGCAAACAGCTTTCATAATCGCAGAACGATTTCTTCGATTTCATAATCGCACGATTAAATCGTCTGCGATTATGAATGCGACTACGGCTCTGTGTAGTAAACGCTGCTCCATCTGAACGCACGTGCTGGAGACTTACTACTGATCACAGAACCGGCTTTACTGACAAGATGCGCATGACAATCGCATTCGATTAATCGTGCAGCCCTAAGTGTACGACACTTCGTGGTGGCAAAATTTATATAAATTGTGATTCTGTCTAAAGAAATATTAAGTAAACGTGTAAATATATCAATATTTCTACAAGTATGCACACTTTTGGACTCTAAGCTCTAATGGACGCTGTTCAGTGAAGCTATGTGACCACAAATAAACCGCAGCAGACGTGACTGAATATTAATAAATGTTGTTATTGTATTCAAAATATCATACATTACTGATTGATTATTTTGCACTCCTGACATAAATGAAGAAATTACTATCACTGCAGCTGAGTTTTATCATAAACAGTGGTCAAATATTGAAGCTGGAGTCTTTAATCTTTCTAATGATACACGGTTTGTCCAGATCAAGTAAGAGTGTGATGTTTTAACATGCTGTGAATGTGAAACAACAATAATCTGAGGCTGCCTGTATTATGCCGAATTCTGCACCCCTGCCAAATTGTTACCCTCTTGTTGAAGTCTCAACCTGATTGCCTAATCCTAACCCCTCCCCCACATCTACTCTTAAAGGCAGGGTAGGTGATTTGGTTCAAAAACAAAGTTTTTTCAGTTTATTTCCTATTTCATACGTTCCCATACATTACTGAAAGTGCAATTGTAGTGTATTTCAAATCTTAAAAGTATATTTAAAAAAAAAAACAATGTACTTGTACTAATTGTATTCTTAAATTATACTAATATTATATTGATTAAATTAAATGTCACTTAAGTGTACTTAAAGGAAGTACATTCATGACTACATTTCTTAACACACTTAAGTACACTTTTAAAAAGTTTTACTTTAAAGTACACTTTAAATCATTATGGTTTAATAATCTTTTGTCATGCTTTAAGGAAGTGCACTTATTTTGATGTGTTGAGTAACATACTAAAGCACATGTAAAGAACTTGATTATAATTTTAACTGTAGTGTGTTATTTGATATTACATTTAAAGTTAATATATTTTATATGTACTAAAATGCAACTTCACCAGTTAAACGCATGACATACACATTTCATCAGAAATGACATAAATGATTGTCAGTACATTTGACAGTTCACTTAAACCATATTTCAAAGAAAATCAAAGAAATAATGAAATGCCATATTGACGTAATTAATTCCAATTCAGTGGGTCAAAAAGCGCTACTAATATCAACTAGTTGCATTTAATATAAATTTAAACTTTAACACATTTTCATTTAATTGTAAATAACATACAGTTAAGTTTCTGAAATCATTACATTTAGTTTGCCCTTAAGTATATTCTTGTAAAGTATATTATTTCAATAAGTATTTTTATATAAGTGTAATTATGTGCAAACACTATATATATATATATATATAATATATATATATATATATATATATACACACACACACACACGTTTTAGGCTACTGTTAGTTTAAAAATATATATTTTCTGAAAAGTTACAAGTTAATACGGTTCTCTTTCAAACAGTGTAAACTATTTTATTTCTTTAAAAGCCAGTGGAGGCTAATAGGAAGCTAATAACACGTTCCCACAGTCTGCATATTATAGCGGAAATGGTGGTTGGCATGATGAATTTTTGGCGGAAACGATGGTTACCATGGTGATTGTTTGTAAGGGACGTGGCAGCACACGTAAGCACATACACAGAGGAATGCAACTACAACCAGGCGCTTATACTTAATACATTATGTGCAGAGTAAAAACAGTAGGCTAAAAAAGAAGCGTTTTTATTACTGCACTACGCATACTTTATCTTTCATGCTGAGAGTTTGTTTTATATGCACGAACCTTTTTGACTGCTCTGGCAGTGTATAGCCCCATCCCGTCCTGAACTTTAGAGGACTTCAGCACGAATCTGTCCGGCACATACATGCCCAACATTCTCATTACTTCAGAAAAAAACTTTCTTCAAAACAAAACAGACGAAACGCGCTCGGAAACACAGGTTAGGAGCTGCTTTAATGTTCTCTGCTCGCTGTGTTTGGAAATCTCAGCCCAGTCTGCTCTTCCATGTTACTGTCTGTACAAGAGACTGGCTCTGCGTTCCGATTGGCTGTTGGCCGGACAGGGAATGCGTGTCTGCGCTCTGATTGGTGGAAAGTTTCTGAAACTCCACGATAGTGGCTGTAACGGAGTTGGTTTCTGCAATCTGATTGGTGGAAAGTTTGTTGCCGTGAGCTACATATTTTACTTTCCCGGGAAATGTCATTATATTATTCTAGAAAAAACGAAATTGAACAAAAATCACGCATACTACAAATAATATCAACAAAAATAATAATCGTGTAACTAATAATAATACAGTACATTACATATTTTATAATGC